AATTGCTAATTTACTTTTGCTAGAGCTAGTTTATTTTCTATGGACGGATCTTGTGGAAGCGGAAGTATTTGTAACCAAATTATTGGCCCAGTTTTTTTCAAATTGAACAATTTTTTTTCGGATTTTTTTGAATGTTTTTGTCAAAAAAATCTGCTATGCTTTCGATTAAGAGATTCCAGTTGTCATCCATGTTTAAATGCTCTAGTAAGTTAGTCTCTTTGTGTTTTTAAAAGTAGGTTTTGTGATGTTTTTTTTGCCGAAATCTTTTGAACTTATGTAGTTTTCATTCCATGAAGACGCTAGAAAACTTTGAAAATTATAGCTACAAATAATCAGAATTGATTTTTTGGGCTTGAATGAAAAATTTTGACATGTTTACTTATAACCTGCGACTATTAGTATATAAAAAGGCTTTAATATGATATATCACCCAACCATTCCAATGATTATTTGTGGTACCTGATTATCACGACGATTGCAAGTTGCTGGAAAATACTATTTTCAAAAGTGGGAACAAAAATTGCACAACTTAAATGTTTCTAACATTGGAAATTAAAACGTGTCGAGTTACTTTCTTTGAAATTGATTACAGTTACATGAGAATTGAACTTTTTTACTGGAATCCGCTAAAAACCGACTACCCTAGCATGCCAACTTAGGTTCAATTAAACCGATAATTTGCAAAACCAAATGGGTCTCAAAGCTAATTTTGAATGATTTTCTTGTCTGTAACGAGGATAAAAAACCGCATTTTTTGCGTATAGTTTACGACATCCATTTTTGACAGGCACCAAAGCCGCTAATGCCACTTTAGACTCTAAACCATATTCAATTTTGGGTTTGAAAAATTTCCTAATTGTCAACCCGAATGAATTCCCCGAAAGTTTTCAAATTGGTTTTCAAATCGATGACATACAAGAATCCGGAATGACTCTCGAGGGCTCCAATTTGTATGTCTCAATACTGAGACGATGATGCAATGAACATGTTCCACTGTAGGCAAAAGATCAACACTCCTCTTGTATGTTAGTATGGTAACCGCAGAGAATCTGATAATAAAGCCAACTGATGTTTTCAGCAAAACCAAAACTTTTTAATTATTATTTTTTTCAGTTTTTCAACTGCGATCCAGACGCCGCTTCATTATTTTGGAAACTGAAAACAATGATAAATCGAGAAAAAAGGAAATGATTAAAATTCACTTTTTTGTGCCTATTTGTTTAAGAAGCTTTCAGTGAAGTAAACCAGTTGTCTACCAGTTTTTTTTTCTGTTTTCAGCTGTTTTTTTTTTCTTCAAATTTGGAGTATTTGGAAGATTTGCGTGGACTAGGAGATAGACTCTGAAACCAATTTTTTTGCAATTTTTCTTTACTCTCCTTTTCTCTTCCTACAGCTAAGAAACTACAAACATGTTAAATTTACTTTCTAACCTTCGGGCCCGACAAGTGAGGAATAAAGTTAAGACTTTTTGATTCAGCTGTGTCTTTTTCGATACGTTTTTAGTTTTCTCGAAATGATAAGGGGACCATAAATGGGTTAACTATATGCTGAGAAAGTAATACACATGGCTGATGGCAAAACTAAAAAAAATTATATTACGCGCATTGGATGATTATAAGATTATAAAGTAAAACTTTCATTTTAGGGTAGAATAGCAAAAAATTGCTACTGTGAAACACCTGTGAAAAAAGGACGTGATAAAATAAAACAACGGCTAGACCCCGAGAGGCCCAGAGTTCATATCTGAAGACTGTAGATGTTGCCTTCTTTCCTTACACATGTTTCATAGTCGGGAGTAAAGTACCAAACCAGATGATTGCATAATTTGGACAACTGCAGAGGAATCTGATATGAGAAGCAATAGTTATTTCAAGTGTTGCAGAAAACCAATAGATTTTTTGTGTTTGTCCAGAGTTTAACTTTAATTTTTTCAGTTCCGATCCGGAACCTGCTTAGTTCTAGCGGGACAGTTAAGACCCGGAAAAAAAGACGACAGTGAAATATAAGCTCAACGCCCATTTACACGAGAGAAAAGATGTCATTTCAGTGCAGGTTTGTGAATCTTACCTGTGTAATATTTTAGTTTGAGTGGCAACGAGGATAATTTAGAAATGAGGATAAAAATTGAGTTTACTGTTGTTTAATATAATTGTGACCGAATAATTTATTTATTTTCTGCTGGAGGATAATGAGTGAAAGTGGATTGAAATGAGTGGAGGTGGCGTTTGTAACTATCAATGGTGCTTCACATCTACTGCGGCAGCCGATTGAAAGAGGGCGACTAGTAATAAGAATAATAATAATAATGAGAGGCCACCGAAGCTGATTTGCTACACTGAGAAGCAGAAGAAGGAGAAGAAGGAGAAGAATGGAGCAGGCGCAATGAAGTTAATCGCCAAACAATTCTGCACTTTTAACTGGCTCCCCACAACTCCATCTTTTAAATCCATCCATCTCTCTTTTTATTACCCAAAATCACAAGTCACACAACCCACTCACATCACATCACATCACATCACAGACAGCCACATATCCTCATCAGGTCTCCCTAACAAACACTCTCCGCCAATCACATCCCTCTTCAATTATTCGTTCCTTTCTTTTTCCGAACAGCGAAACTGTCTGCTCCAAATAAAGCAAAGTTTGTTTTGTTTCATTCAATGAATACTACAATTGACTTTCTGCTATTTGAAGATGGCAAACCTACCTTGTACTCTTAAGAAATTATAAAAAAACTTCCAAGATAAAAAGAACGAAAGCTATGGAATAAATTATAAATTGAAAGTGGAATTTGGGTTGTGAGGAGATGTATTTTCTATACTTCTATACTTTCTCTACTAATATTCATAGTGATAAATCATGGCAAAAAGCAACGAAACAAGTTTGTCTTAAAAGATCTTTCTTATAGCAGACAGAAGTTTTTCAATAAGCAAAAAAGAGATGAAATTGAATTTAAAGAAGCTGCCGTTCAGCTGAGCTTACGACATCGCCAGCAGGTCTGCCTGAAGATGAGAAATTGTTTTGCGGCCAAATTGGACATGTTTAGAACAACCCAGTTTCGGAGAACCAGTCCTTCAGCGCTCCAACTGCCCTGAAAATTGCTTCAATTTTTCACTGGACATCACATTCATATTGAAAAAGTAAAGTGTTCCTTTCTTTTCCACATCTTCCCTCTCAAGGAATACCTATTAGTGAGCGATGCACTTTGCTTCGAAATTAGTGGTACTAGAAGGAACATCAACTTGCCACCTTTCAGTTGAAAACACAATTTCGTGCCAAGAATATTTTCCCTCTCAAGGAATACCTATTAGTGAGCGATGCACTTTGCTTCGAAATTAGTGGTACTAGAAGGAACATCAACTTGCCACCTTTCAGTTGAAAACACAATTTCGTGCCAAGAATCTTTTACCTCTCAAGGAATACCTAATAGTGAGCGATGCACTTTGCTTCGAAATTAGTGGTACTAGAAGGAACATCAACTTGCCACCTTTCAGTTGAAAACACAATTTCGTGCCAAGAATCTTTTCCCTCTCAAGGAATACCTAATAGTGAGCGATGCACTTTGCTTCGAAATTAGTGGTACTAGAAGGAACATCAACTTGCCACCTTTCAGTTGAAAACACATTTTCGTGCCAAGAATCTTTTCCCTCTCAAGGAATACCTATTAGTGAGCGATGCACTTTCCTTCGAAATTAGTGGTACTAGAAGGAACATCAACTTGCGACCTTTCAGTTGAAAACACAATTTCGTGCCAAGAATCTTTTCCCTCTCAAGGAATACCTATTAGTGAGCGATGCACTTTGCTCCGAAATTAGTGGTACTAGAAGGAACATCAACTTGCCACCTTTCAGCTGAAAACACAATTTCGTGCCAAGAATCTTTTCCCTCTCAAGGAATACCTAATAGTGAGCGATGCACTTTGCTTCGAAATTAGTGGTACTAGAAGGAACATCAACTTGCCACCTTTCAGTTGAAAACACAATTTCGTGCCAAGAATCTTTTCCCTCTCAAGGAATACCTATTAGTGAGCGATGCACTTTGCTTCGAAATTAGTGGTACTAGAAGGAACATCAACTTGCCACCTTTCAGTTGAAAACACAATTTCGTGCCAAGAATCTTTTCCCTCTCAAGGATTACCTAATAGTGAGCGATGCACTTTGCTTCGAAATTAGTGGTACTAGAAGGAACATCAACTTGCCACCTTTCAGTTGAAAACACAATTTCGTGCCAAGAATCTTTTCCCTCTCAAGGAATACCTATTAGTGAGCGATGCACTTTGCTTCAAAATTAGTGGTACTAGAAGGAACATCAACTTGCCACCTTTCAGTTGAAAACACAATTCCGTGCCAAGAATCTTTTCCCTCGCAAGGAATACCTATTAGTGAGCGATGCACTTTGCTTCGAAATTAGTGGTACTAGAAGGAAAATCAACTTGCCACCTTTCAGTTGAAAACCCAATTTCGAGCCAAGAATATTTTCCCTCTCAAGGAATACCTATTAGTGAGCGATGCACTTTGCTTCGAAATTAGTGGTACTAGAAGGAACATCAACTTGCCATCTTTCAGTTGAAAACACAATTTCGTGCCAAGAATCTTTTCCCTCTCAAGGAATACCTATTAGTGAGCGATGCACTTTGCTTCGAAATTAGTGGTACTAGAAGGAACATCAACTTGCCACCTTTCAGTTGAAAACACAATTTCGTGCCAAGAATGTTTTCCCTCTCAAGGAATACCTATTAGTGAGCGATGCACTTTGCTTCGAAATTAGTGGTACTAGAAGGAACATCAACTTGCCACCTTTCAGCTGAAAACACAATTTTGTGCCAAGAATCTTTTCCCTCTCAAAAAATACCTATTAGTGAGGGTTGCACTTTGCTTCGAAATTAGTGATACTAGAAGGAACATCAACTTGCCACCTTTCAGTTGAAAACACAATTTCAAGCAAAGAATCTTTTCCCTCTCAAGGATTACCCATTAGTGAGCGATGCACTTTGCTTCGAAATTAGTGGTACTAGAAGGAACATCAACTTGCCACCTTTCAGTTGAAAAAACAATTTCGTGCCAAGAATCTTTTCCCTCTCAAGGAATACCTATAAGTGAGCGCTGCACTTTGCTTCGAAATTAGTGGTACTAGAAGGAACATCAACTTGCCACCTTTCAGTTGAAAACACAATTTCGTGCCAAGAATCTTTTCCCTCTCCAAGAATACCTATAAGTGAGCGATGCACTTTGCTTCGAAATTAGTGGTACTAGAAGGAACATCAATTTGCCACCTTTCAGTTGACAACACAATTTCGTGCCAAGAATCTTTTCCCACTCAAGGAATACCCATTAGTGAGCGATGCACTTTGCTTCGAAATTAGTGGTACTAGAAGGAACATCAACTTGCCACCTTTCAGTTGAAAAAACAATTTCGTGCCAAGAATCTTTTCCCTCTCAAGGAATACCTATAAGTGAGCGATGCACTTTGCTTCGAAATTAGTGGTACTAATAGGAACATCAACTTGCCACCTTTCAGTTGAAAACACAATTTCGTGCCAAGAATCTTTTCCCTCTCAAGGAATACCTATTAGTGAGCGATGCACTTTGCTTCAAAATTAGTGGTACTAGAATAAACATCAACTTGCCACCTTTCAGTTGAAAACACAATTTCGTGCCAAGAATCTTTTCCCTCTCAAGGAATACCTATTAGTGAGCGATGCACTTTGCTTCGAAATTAGTGGTATTAGAAGGAACATCAACTTGCCACCTTTCAGTTGAAAACCCAATTTCGAGCCAAGAATCATTTCCCTCTCAAGGAAAACCTATTAGTGAGCGATGCACTTTGCTTCGAAATTAGTGGTACTAGAAGGACCATCAACTTGCCACATTTCAGTTGAAAACACAATTTTGTGCCAAATATCTTTTCCCTCTCAAGGAGTACTTGTTACTGAGCGATGCACTTTGCTTCGAAATTAGTGGTACTAAAAGGAATATCAACTTGCCACCTTTCAGTTGAAAACACAATTTCGTGCCAAGAATCTTTTCCCTCTCAAGGAATACCTATAAGTGAGCGATGCACTTTGCTTCGAAATTAGTGGTACTAAAAGGAACATCAAGTTGCCACCTTTCAGTTGAAAAAACAATTTCGTGCCAAGAATCTTTTCCCTCTCAAGGAATACCTATAAGTGAGCGATGCACTTTGCTTCGAAATTAGTGGTACTAATAGGAACATCAACTTGCCACCTTTCAGTTGAAAACAATTTCGTGCCAAGAATCTTTTCCCTCTCAAGGAATACCTATTAGTGTGCGATGCACTTTGCTTCAAAATTAGTGGTACTAGAATAAACATCAACTTGCCACCTTTCTGTTGAAAACACAATTTCGTGCCAAGAATCTTTTCCCTCTCAAGGAATACCTATTAGTGAGCGATGCACTTTGCTTCGAAATTAGCGGTATTAGAAGGAACATCAACTTGCCACCTTTCAGTTGAAAAGCCAATTTCGAGCCAAGAATCTTTTCCCTCTCAAGGAATACCTATTAGTGAGCGATGCACTTTGCTTCAAAATTAGTGGTACTAGAAGGAACATCAATTTGCCACCTTTCAGTTGAAAACACAATTTCAAGCCAAGAACCTTTTCCCTCTCAAGGATTACCCATTAGTGAGCGATGCACTTTGCTTCGAAATTAGTGGTACTAGAAGGAACATCAACTTGCCACCTTTCAGTTGAAAAAACAATTTCGAGCCAAGAATCTTTTCCCTCTCAAGGAATACCTATTAGTGAGCGATGCACTTTGCTTCGAAATTAGTGGTACTAGAAGGAACATCAACTTGCCACATTTCAGTTGAAAACACAATTTCGTGCCAAATATCTTTTCCCTCTCAAGGAATACCTATTAGTGAGCGATGCACTTTGCTTCGAAATTAGTGGTACTAGAAGGAACATCAACTTGCCACCTTTCAATTGAAAAAACAATTTCGTGCCAAGAATCTTTTCCCTCTCAAGGAATACCTATTAGTGAGCGATGCACTTTGCTTCGAAATTAGTGGTACTAGAAGGAACATCATCTTGCCACCTTTCAATTGAAAACACAATTTCGTGCCAAGAATCTTTTCCCTCTCAAGGAATAACTATTAGTGAGATTTGCACTTTGCGTCGAAATTAGTGGTACTAGAAAGAACATCAACATGCCATCTTTCAGTTGAAAACACAATTTCAAGCCAAGAATCTTTTCCCTCTCAAGGATTACCCATTAGTGAGCGATGCACTTTGCTTCGAAATTAGTGGTACTAGAAGGAACATCAACTTGCCACCTTTCAGTTGAAAAAACAATTTCGTGCCAAGAATCTTTTCCCTCTCAAGGAATACCTATAAGTGAGCGATGCACTTTGCTTCGAATTTAGTGGTACTAGAAGGAACATCAACTTGCCACCTTTCAGT